TTAACACATCCTAAGGAAAGGACATGGTTGGGTGTCCATTCAAACACCCACACCTCACCAATAGAAAAGAAACAAAGGAAGGAAGTGAGGTCTACTTATAGACCTCGACCAGGGGGTATATGGGTAATGTAGTGTAGTTTACTTGGAATTGTGGGATATGTCCCCAGAAAATATATACTCTGGCTGGGAGACAGTACGCTTTCTGAAGCATTGATCCTGAGACCTAGGCATTCTAGATGGCTGAGGACCCAGGATCTGTGAGTTCTTAACTGCACCTCCGATTGGGCCATAACCAGTCAATCGTCGAGGTAGTTCAACACTCGCTGTCTCAGGGGGGTGAGGGCTGCGTCCATGCACTTCGTAAACGTACGGGGTGCTAGGGATAGACCGAATGGTAGGACTGTGTACTGATAAGCCTGCCCCTCGAAGACGAATCTCAAGAATGGCCTGTGATGGGGTGTTATCTGAATGTGAAAATAAAGGCTGATTTATACTTCTGCGTTGGACCTACGCCGGAGCCTCTACGCTATAGACTACGCGTTGGTTTTCATTTATACTTCTGCGTCGTTGTCCGCGTTGACGCGCAATTACACATGCAGAGGGAGCATGTAAAAGCCGGGGAGCGGTTCTAGCAGACCAATCACAGCGCTTGCGGTAATCGTAGAATTGACGCGTTGTTACATTTTTGGAGAGGTGCACGTCAGGGTACACCGAAGGGTACGCGCGCTACACACAGCCTACGACGTAGCTACGGCGTGAGTTCGACGCAGAAGTATAAATTGGGCTTAAGCATCTTTCAGATCCACTGAGAAAACCAATCCCCTGGGCGAATCTGCGCAAGGATTTGTTTGGTTGTCAACATTCTGAACGGGCGCATCATCAGCGCTTTGTTCAGGGGCTGGTTGCATAAACATAGCTATTATGTTAAGACAGTGTCTAAAGTTCTAGTGTGACCCACTATCAGTTAGTCTGGGGCAGCCAGTCTTACTTTTCGGTATCAAATTAGGCTAATCTACGTTTTTATGTAACTGACTTAAAAAAAACTATAAACAGTCTTAAAGAATTTTGTTTTTAATGTCTAACTCGTAAGACTAGTCTTAGTGGTTTATGCAACCGGCCCCAGGTGAGATCTAAGATGGGCCTGAGGCCGTCATCTTTCTTTGGAACGAGGAAATAGCGACTGTAAAAGCCTGACTTGCTTAGTGATAAAGGGACTGGCTCTACAGCTCCTTTCACCAACAGTTTTGACACTTCGAGGGGACTGGGAGACGTGTAAAAGGCTTTTTGGAGGGTGGTCCGGTCGCGGCGGGACTCAAACACGCTCTTTTCCTTCCTGTCATTTGGGCTAGGAAGGCTTCCGAGGCTCGGGGTCCAACACAATCTTCGGTCGGGGTCACTGGCGGTCTGGGAACTGCTGTCGTCTCGCTGAACGACAGCGGTGACGGACTTCAGCCGTTTAGGCGGGGCTGAGAGACCGGCGGCGCTGGCTTTGCAAAGGTGCGTGGCCACTGTCTCTTCGAGGGGGGGAATTTTCTCATATCCTTTCTCCACAGTGCGGTCGACAGTCGAGAGTGTTGAGGAGTTGGAGGGTTTGAGACAAGCTGAATGCGGCGCTTTCCACGACTTTGTTAGCTCGTTGTGTACCTCAGGAAAGAAAGGGGTGGGTCTCTGCTGAGGGGCCTGTCGGCACCCTTGCAGGAATCATTCATCCAGCCTGCTTCACGTGGGTTTCTCGGGCCAATCGAGCCCGAGGTCTTTGACGGCCTTAGTTAGCAGCACACGGAGAAGTTCAGAGTCAAGGCTGGCTCTCACGCCGCAGCAAGGGAAAGGCTGTCATCCTTCTCTTCCTCCTCATCTGATCCCCCTAAAGAGAGGGGTGCTGGTCTGCCTGTGTAAACAGGACCAGCGAGGAGGTTTCTCTGGGTGAGAGCGAGGCATGCGGGGACTGGGCCGGTGTGTGCTCGCTTACATCTGTCCGCTCTGGCATTCTTTGTCTGCGGCGCTTCTTCTTGCGCGGCCCGTGGGGTCGACGTCGGCGAAGCTGGCCAGTCGAATCTGCAGGGTGGCGAGCGCCATCTCATCGCACTCTGGCCAGCCACCCCTAGAGTGTGCAGCTTCAGCATGGTCACGGCACAGACAGGAAGCGCACAAGATGTGACGATCCGCGCCGAAGAGAGGGCTCTGCACGATGCGCATGTGTCTCGAGGCATTTGAAACAACGTCTAGAAAATTGCTCTTTTAGATAGTGGGTCGCAGCGGCGAACACACTAAGTTTTGCTTAAAATAATATATGCACGCTGGATAGCACAGCAGAAAAGCGGGTTAAAAGCGGCATCCAGTGAAAACCAGGAAGCTGGCGTCCTCAGAGCTGCTTAGCAGGTGGCTTGTTCCGCTGAAGGCTTTTCGACGGCGGCGGTGAAGGCTTCTCAACCAAAGGTCAGTAACTTGCTGAAGGAGATTAAATCTGAATTCTATGGTGAAAATGGGGGCCTATATAACTATAAGCCACGCCCATACTGACGCGCTCTGGCGCGAAACGACCTGATTGTTTCGCGCATCTTAGCCGACTCGCCATAGGTTCGTGCAGTTGCCCCAGCACAGCCATTGAGCGCGCTAGATGCTCAGCTATATGTCTGCTGTGCAGCTGCACTGCGTTTTCCCATAGCGTAAGCTAATTTACACAATACGAGAGACCTCTCGAAAGGGAAACTGTTAGACCCCAAAACACATACGACACATAATATGGCCTCTTTATTAAGATCTTACCAGAAAAAGTTGTGGAATTTTATTTTTACATTTAAAATGGTGTGTGTAGTTTTAAATATATATATATATATATATATATATTTTTTTTTTTTTCTGAAGTCATAGTGAACTGTAGTCATGATGAACTCCTGTTCACATCCATTAAAATTTATGTAAATCAGGTGGCCAGTGCCAACATTTCTCCTTTTTTTCAAAGAAGAAAAACAATCAAACAAGTTTGGCATAACATGAGGGTGACAATTAGTTCTTTTTAATAGCCAACAATGTCATAACAAAATCATTGATGGTATTTCTGAGCATAACCCTGAAGCTGAAGTGTTGCTTGAAATTTTTTTAATGTTCTTCAAAACATGTCAAAACACAGTGTCTAGCACAGGTTATCTCATAAGATACTTCACCTATTTTAAGTGTAGATATTTTTACAGTCATCTAAATCTTATTTCGTTATGCTGTCAGAATGTACCTGGGCCCTCGTAACATAAGATATGTCAAGATGAGAAGGTTTATATCTGGTAAAGCAGAATTCTGAAGTATAACCCATATGTTTTTTTTGTTTTTGTTTTTTTTTGATTAAAAGGGAATATATCATTTAAAAGAAAACTTTTTAAACTGTTTTATATATTTATGATGTATATTTTTTAGCATGTAAGCTGGATGGTAACAAAAAAACAGTACATTTATACTACATAAATAATAATATTCACATTTGTCTTATAGAGAAAGAAAAGAAGATAAAAAGATGGACATTTAGTGTGTTTTTTTATTTATTTTATAATACTTTATAATAGTAGAGAAGTAGATTAGAGTAAACCAACAGGTTCAGTTACATGAGGAGAAGTTGTTATGAGTTTGAACATCATGAACTTCTGGTGTGAAATGACACATTCCACACACCCTCCCTATAAAAAGAAACACACATGCTTTTTTACCTTTTGATACTGGTGTTGGCCCACACAATCAGATGTTCAGATGTTTATGTCGTTTGAGAGACTGATGTTGGCCCAGGCTGCGTTCCAGTCCACTTTTAGACACGCACTTGCGAACTTCCCTAAGCACTTCCCCTCGGGGGAATCCCTGCCGCCATTTTGAAGTGCGTTCCACTTTGTGAAGTGAACGAGGGAAGTTTATATGGACAGACACTCGTTCCCTCGATTTAGACCGAGGGAGCGAGTCTACTTCATATGAACACTTCAGGCATCTAAATGTCCCACAATGCAGTACGATTGTGACGTAACCACAGATCGTCTAATCACCACCACAACAAAACACTCTATGATATATTAATTATGATTTATTTATTTATTTTAAAATAACCCAAACACACTTATATACATGTGGATGCTGCATTAAACAAATTCTTAAAGGGGAAAAAAGTAAATAATAAATCAACTCATAGCTGATTCAAAGTGATCAAGTGCTTAGGACGTTCCAGTTCAGCTCATTGCGGTTTCCGCCAGTAGTGGGCACTCGTGCAACGTAAGCAATGACGTATATCCGAGTGAACGAGACGGAGGAAAGTTAGCGAGTGAAGGGCATGACCATTTTGGACTGGAACGCAGCACCAGTATTAAGGCCAAAAACATGCTTTTACTTACATCCACACCACTAGGTGCCAGTAAGTCCAAGACGAATGCCAGTGTAAAAACTTGTAGTTTATTAGTCCTAATATGATCTGAGGATGGTTCTAAATAATCTTGTGCCTAAAGATGTGTAAAAATTAACCTTGTTAAAAAAAAATTGTTTTTTAGTGTTAGGAGGAAAGGTGTTTAGTCAACTCGACAATGAGCACAATTATTAATAAATATTATACATTATTCTTATTATTCTTGTCATTCTTGTCAAAGTGCTCATAAAGATTTATATACAGGGTGTGTAAAATTTGCCCCTTATATTTTGTGTTGCCCCTCCAGTTCTATCATTTTATTCCCTGCAACTGGGTGTGTTATTTTAGATACGCATTTCGTTTTCAGTTTAATGGAAATGTTCATCATTGTTCATTCGGTCTAGGACAGGAAATATTGCATTTTGACTTTAAACCGAACAAAAAATGTTGATGCTCAGGTTCTAGAGGGCAATGTACATACTCACCTGTTCATTGGAAATTAATATCCTCATCCTTCCCCCGTCCTGGGCAAGTATTTAAAGATTCCGTTGAATCTGACAAAGTCACGACTAAGCATTTGCTTTTGTGTCTTGTCCTCCACTTCTACATTTGAGACCTTGTCTAGGACAGAACTATGTCTTTCCGCTCTAATTCCAGAACCATCAGTGTTTATGGAGGTGCCGGTGGTCGAGGAACCCGGATATCCTCGTCCCCTGCTGGGTCTCTTCACTCTTCTCCAATGAGATTCAATCTGGGTGAGAAGACCACCATGCAAAATTTGAATAGCCGCCTAGCCTCTTACCTAGAGAAGGTGCACTCACTGGAGAATGCCAACGCTGATCTAGAAACCAACATCAGGGAATGGTATGACAGTCACACTGGTGTCACATTCAATCACTCCGTTTACCAGGACACCATCAATGACCTGAGAAATGAGGTGAGTTCACAGTGGAGTGGGGATCTCAGGATCTTCAGTGGATCACCTGACATGCTATTTGAGAAATGAAAATGTATCCAGACATGGCATTAGTGATATAATATACAATAATAAATATTAAGAACTCAAACTTAAAAATCTTGAAATTTAAGTTGAAAATCTGAATTTTAAGTTGAAGTAGGCCTATTCAAATTACTAAACCAAGTTACTTTAAAAAAATAAAAATACATGTACTGCGTTAGATTCAACTGGGTCATATCACTTGCATATTGTTGTCCTATTGTTAGTTTAACTGCTTCTATTGTTCTCATTTGTAAGTTGCTTTGGATTAAGCATCTGCTAAATGAATAAATGTAAATGTAAACCTAAAACTGAAATAAAAATTAATTAAAGCTAAATAGGAACCTAAAAAAACATATAACAAAATATAGATAACTTTATTACAATTACTAAAACGTTTGTTATTAACACTAATTGACAAGTCAGGGTTAGGTTTAGGGTTGTGGGTGTGATGGGATCTAGACCAGTGTTTCTCAAATGGTAGGTCGCACGGAAGTTTTAGGTGAGTAGTCAAAGAAACAACAAACCTAATTCTATGTTTAGTGATGCGAAACCTTTATTTTGAAAGACGTGCGTAAAAGCAAAATCATGGAATGCAACGTCGTTATGTTGTCAATTAGTCAATCATAAGATCCACAATACGATGACGACTCCACTTTAGTTTTTCCTCCTGGCCATGATGGATCGTACAAAATCTCATCTCAGCACTTTTGATGAATGGCTATGCTATTTATAATTTGTAGGGGATTTGTGGAGTATAAGTCTTTATTTTTTAAGTCTAAAGATACAATTAGACCCTTGGGGTAAGATGATCTAGGCCTGTATATTAATAATATACAAAGAATATATAAAAGTTTTTATTTAAGGTTAAAGAATTGAATTCAAATGTGAGTCCAATGGCCAAACCAGTTGAGAACTATTGATCTAATGTGCTTAGACATCAAGCATCACGTTAGTTTAGGCAGGCCACGTTAGCCAGCTGATAGGTGATAGCTGATTGATGTACCAATCCAGTGTCGACATCTACCACAGCGGCAAATTCTCATTACTTCAGCACTCCCTCCTCCAACCCCAACTCCACCCAACCGAACTTTTTTTTCCGTACAGGTCACTACATTGCAAGCATTTTCTATCGTGTATTTGAGAATTGTAATTATGCATACTGGTTCTGTTCTGTACCCCAGGGGGGTTTGACTTGCTGCTCTCCCTGCTCTATCCAGGCATAGCTGCATGGACAGGCTTGGGAGTTTTGCCCAGAACAGAACCATACCGCCAACAACTGTATGCTATAATTGTAATAAATGTGTATACTTGGCGAAGTGGTCCTGTCTGAAACAGATAGAACACGTTTTGTTGTCAGATTTGGCTTTTGTTCCACATACTGTGGTTGAATTCCACAGATACCGAAAACTAGTTTTAAAAATAAAATGACTCCAGGTGGCAGACTGTTTATTGTGCAATTAGACTGTTTTTTTTTTTTCTTCTAATTTGGAATTCAGTGTTCTGGGGGCGTATTTTCTGCAACCTTCTTAAAAGACTGACATCTTTGACACCTACTATTTGTGTAATCAACTGTATAATACTCCTTTTTTATGGCAGATTCAATCAATTTCCCAAGACAATGCCTCAATCATCCTGACTGTGGACAATGCCAAACTGACTGCTGAAGACTTCAAACTAAAGTGAGAAACTAAATTGACATCTTGCAAATAATTGATTTAATTGGTCATTTATTGGCTATTCATTTTGTGAAACATCGCCTCAGGTATGAGAATGAGCTCGCTATGAGAAGGAACATTGATGCTGACATCGCCAGTCTGAATAAAATTCTGGATGGGTTTAGCTTGCATCGGTCGGATCTGGAAATACAGATTGAGGCTCTGACGGAGGACCTCATCATACTGAAGAGAAACCATGAGGAGGTACAATAGATGACACACATTTCTCATCTTAACCTGTCTCATTGAAGAATCTTCAGTTGGGTTATGCCTGTTCTGCCTCGTATTTTTGTAAAAACTCTTATTTCTAATCATCCCCATATATATATATATACCAATTGGCTTCATCACTATGTCTCCTCTCCACCAGTAAGCTGGTGTGTGGTGGGCGTTCTGGCACAATATGGCTGCCGTCCCATCATCCAGGGGGATGCTGCACATTGGTGGTGGTTGAGGAGATCCCCCCTTCTATTCCCCCTCCCCGCTTTGAGTGCCGAGAAAAGCGCTATATAAATTTAATGAATTATTATTATTATTATTATTTCATTTAATTAAAATGGACAGAACACAGTCGATTGGTGTTCCGTTCCATAGTGTATTATTATATTCTAAAACAGCAAATTCTAGCTTGTAAACAGCAATGATATTTCCATGACAGGATTTCTATTCAGGGCTTTGCCCATGAGACTGGCCATTCAGATATTCCACCCACAAATTGATTCCTGTTTTACTCAAAGCTGTTATATAAGCCCAAGTAAGTTGGAAACATTTCCACTGAACTGTATACAGTAAATATCACCATGGTGGTGATGTGGTATGAGGGTGTGATTAAGACCAAATAAAGCATAGCTTGCAAGCTAACCGGTTAGCCTGCATACGGCTAGCTGATTAGCCTGCTGGCTTAGCATGTACAAGTTACACTACTTCACCACCATGATTTATCCTACTACTAGCTTAGCTACCACTGCTACAAATGAATGAATATTTTTATATCTAGAAGATTTTGCATAGGGTTTTGAACTGCTACCAACACTGCACAGCATCTGTCTTTTAAAATGAATGATTTTCAGTGGCGTTGTTGCTGCAAATCGCAGGGGGGCCGTCCCTAAGACCATTGTGCTTTGTGCCAAGATGTGTAAGTCATTATGGAAACATATAAGGATTCTGTTTCATATACGGGGTCATTCCTGAAAGGCCCATTTAATTCAAAAGTAAAGACATGGATCTTCTCTCAGTGTGAGATTCCACCACTCCTCACATTCCAACCTTCCCACAAACAGAAGGGCACACACCCTGGTACACACTGAACACAGGACAGCTAAAACCTGTGGAAAATACAGGCCTGGAACTGATATCCAAATATAAGATTACCTCATATTGTAAAGTAACACACACACTTCAAATACCATATACAGTAATATAAAAAGGGATACGTTTGCAGGAAGTTTCAGCCATGCTGCTTTTTTTATCACAAATACAGTAAATTGTGAAATAATTTTATTTCTATTTTATTTTCTTGTATTCCCTGTATATGGCAAAGATGAATTTTTAGAAGATATGTTTATTCTTGTACTCAAGAAACCTTTATTATTATTATTATTATTATTATCACAGTTGAAAATAGTTGTGCTGCATTTTGTAAAATTACAAAAATGTCTTTGTTGTCATCAATTTTAAAATCATAGTGATCCCAAACTTTTCAACATGTCATGTACATGTTTTCTAAACTTAATGTAGATGGAAAGAAAGTCTGTTTAAAGTATTTTCTTTTGATATCTTTTGCTTAAAAACAATTGAAAGGCACATTCTGAAAATGAGAGGTTAGGTCACTTTAGCGTTCGTTTTAGAGATAGCAGTTTCCACACCAAAACACACAGGGTCATTAAGAGTGTTCCTTCCTTCCTTCCTTCCTTCAATTTTTCTTTTTTTCCAGTTCTTCTGCTGCCAGCTCTGCTGGGGATTTTCCGTCCCATTACATCATTTTAAACTAATATCACTAGGCCTCTTCTTGGGTCTACGAAATGTCATCATTCATGTATAAACACAACTAGGCGCACACATAAACCTAAAAAAAAACTTTTAAAACTTGTAAAAATATATATTTTTAGTAAACAAAAACAACAAGGGGAAACTACACTTTTTCCTGAAATCGTTCAGACATGTTTGGGATTAAAAGAACAGGCTTATCCCACCACTCCCACTTCTTTTTTATTCCCATTAAATAGAAAATGAATACCATGTCTGGATCATAATACAATTTATCTCTGTCTCAGTGCCAAATCACATACTTTTTTATATGTGTTTTCACAGAAGATGTCCTGCATGGCTGGAGTTCAGGTGAACGTTTGTGTGGATGCAGCGCCCTCTACGGACCTGAACCAGGCCGTCGACGAGATGAGACTACATTATGAGCCTATGACTGAGAAAAACCGTCAGGAGCTGGTGTCCTGGTGTGAAAGCAAGGTGAAGTTAAAACCACAAAGGCATTTGTTCTTGAGTAAATTCATTATTATCATTAATTATTATTTGGGGGGAATTGTACCGTGCTTGACTACTATAAAACTGAATAGGCTTGCACTTTTACTCAACTACAATTCCAAGGAAATAATCATATTTTTTATGCATTCAAATTACAATGTAGAGTACATATTTAGCAGGTCATAATGACTTTAAATGACTTCTTCTTAGAAAAAAAAGGCATAATTTTAATACTTTAAATACTTTAAATTTAATTTGGACATTTTGACACAATACCCATGCCTGAAAATAACTGATTTCAATTTTAATCACATAGCTCATCTGTGATTAAAGGCATAGTTTTAGTTAACCCAAAAATGAAGATGCTGTCATAATTTATTTACTCACCCTCAAGTAGGAAGATATTTTGAACAATGTCTGTATACAAAGATGATGACTATGGCCCTATTCCATAAGTCATTGGGGCCCATCAACTGTTTGGTTACCCATATTCTTCAAAATATCTTATTTTGGGTTCAGCAGAAGAAAGAAATTCATACAGGTTTGTAACACCTTGAGGGTGAGTAAATGATGACAGAATTTTCATTTTTGGGTGAACTAACCCATTAAAAGAATAAAATATTATTTTATAGTGGGATGTTAGGATGCGTGTGATGTCATAGTTGTTGATTTTGTTGGTGTTGGTGTTAACTGCAGATCACCACAGTGCAACAGGAGGTGGTCACACATAATGAAGAGCTTCAGAACAGCAGAAAAGAGCTGAAGGAGTTGGCAAGGTCCTTACAAAGACTACAGATTGAACTGCAGACCCATGAGAGCACGGTAAACCAACACACCCTTACAAACACATTCATTTTTATAGCAAAAAATAGAGTTGTGGTTTAAATCGAAGAAGCAATGCAGAAAAAGTCTGTGGCAACATGTCTAGGAAGAACATGTGTGCCAGGCTGTTTTTTTGGTGTTTTTTTTTCTGTCCATGAGCTCCAGCCTCTCCCCCTCTAGTTCACCAACCAGCACTCTGCCAGCTTTAAGACTTTAAGAGCAGTCAGGGGAAATGTCGTGTAATTTCCTATGCTTACACATTTAGAAGAACAAGAGATAGACTGTTTAAATAGAAGATAGCGTCTCAAAAGTGTGGGTTATTAGCACTGTTTATATATTCTGCCCTAATGCACCCAATAACATCAAAAAACACTGTGTGTCCACAGCAAAATAAATATAATTAAATAATTTATAAATACATATTATATATAAAACTATTATGCATAATAGTATATAAAATACAAATATATAATATAATATAATATAATATAGGCTAATATAATATAATAATAAAATATAACATAATATAATATATATCAAATATATTATGTATTTAATGGTATTATATATTTAATTATTTATATATGACTATCCACAGAGGTCAGCTCTTGTCGGGGAACTGAAGGGCACACAGGCCCGTTACGGGGACCAGTTGGCTAGGCTTCAGACCACTGTCACAGGCCTGGAGGACCATCTTAGTCAATTTCATGCTAAAATTGGCATCAACAAACAAGACTACGAAGCGCTGCTGGAGGTAAAGAGCAGACTGGAGCGTGAGATCGCTGAGTACATGAGACTGCTGGATGGAGATGAAAGGTGCTGCTCGTGGAATTAATTTCTTAATTTTGATATCTTGTGATTTAGTGCATAGACTGATTTAGAAGTTAGAAAGCTTTACTGACACCAGCTCTCTCTCTTGTTTTTTACAGAGAGTCCCACAGTAAGTGACTATTTTACAATAAAAACATTTTTTGTATAAATGTATTGCATCACTATGAAGCTTTGTAGTGCACTGCTAATTGACTATCTCTCATTGTCTATTTTTAGAAGTTGCCACCAAAATGATCACAGTGGTGCAAACTGTTGTGAATGGGAAGGTTGTGGAGAGCAGCGAGACCGTGGATGTTATTGAGAAAAAATGACTCATCTGCTCAAAAACACATTGACTTCAACTGACGACGTCACATGTCTTATAATGCCTTACTGTAATGCACAATCACACAATTAATGAAGAATTTGGAAGTTTACCTTAGATTGTGAACATGATTATATGAATGTAATTTAGTTTTGTCCTGTGCAAACTCTTTCAGCTCTTTGTTTCCCGGTGTTAAATGACAATCAAATATGCCTGATGTACTGCAAGCATCCACAAACCCTCAAAATGTATCATTATCTTTTCAGAAACAAAATAGGGATCAAGAAACAATAATTTATCAATAAACACTAAAAAGATTTAACATGAGACAAATCACAGTCGTGTTTCTGCTCCATCAATGATTTTATTCTTAACAATAGTGCAGCACAAGGCCTGAAGACTGGTGTGACAGGTGTAGATGGGCACTCTTTGATGGTGTTTGGCGTTTATTTTGTACTAGATGACACCACTTTCCCATCAACAATGTCTTCAACAATGGTCTTCACCATGACGGTTTTGGTAGAGGTGCTGCTGCTGCTGCTGCTGCTCACTCCTCCTCCTCCACTGAAACTGATAATGGTGACAAAGAGAGAATATGTTAATGCATGTTCCTCAGAAATAATCAAAACCCAATGACAAACACACACTCATTTTACAGTATCACTATCAATCTTCCACCACCTCCTACCTGCTTGCTTCTCCATCCATCAGTCTCCTATACTCAGCGATTTCCATCTCCAGCCGGGCCTTGATGTCCAACAGCATTATGTAATCCTGAGACTGTCTGTCTGTGTCAGCTCTGAGACGAACAATCTGCTCCTCCAAACTTGTTACGTGAGCCTGCAGTTGAGTCAGCTGGTTGGAGTACCGAGATTGTGTGTCCCTAAGAGTTGCCTCAAGAGACCCTTTCTGTAAAATAAGAGTGGAAGTGCTGAGTATTTATTAGTGCAGAGTGGAATATTTATGTTTGGTAAAAAATGGCAGACGTTCAACCAGGCTGCTGAAAAACTGTATTAACCAGCAAAAGATAGAATTGCCATTTTTTTCAGGTCTCCCTGAATGGTCAGGATTATCTGATTTGCGGGTTTCAGAGGGGTTTTGGGTACTTGTCGACCTGGCTGCCAACTAAACAAACAGAACACTATCTTGGCCAGGCTGGGAGACCAGTTCGCCCAATGTAGCTTTAAACAGCTAAGACCTGTTGAGAATGGTTTAAATTTTTTATTTCAGCAGCCGCTACCATATTGCTATAGATGTATCCCAACACACTCACACACACTTACTTTACTGAGTTCAGATTGTAACTCGATCTCCAGGCCCTGAAGGGTGCGTCGAAGCTCTGTGATTTCAGACTTGGACATTTGTAGGGTCTCTGTATTGGCCTCAACCTCCTTAATCACTGTCTCTGACTGCAGATAAATAACATTCAGAGTTTCGTCAAGCATCTCTAAAGAATAAAACTTGATTGTTCTAGTTTTGGTTAGTTCAGGAAACACAGATTTATTTGGCCTCTTCTACCTTGGTTTTGAACCAGGACTCTAGTTCACGTCGGTTTTTGGCAGCGACACCCTCGTACTGCTCACGGATCTCAGCCATCACACGGCTCAGATCTTCCTGAGGAGCCGCATCCACCTCCACGTTCACCGAACCAGTCATTTGAGTGCGCATGGCAGCCAGTTCCTACAAAGAGAAGAAGAATTCAAGATGATTTATATATATGGACCCTGAGGCACATTCCTCAGATTTAAAGTGCTTTTCAGCCCCACATTTGAGTGCCTTGTTAGTTTATCTCATGGCAAGGTCAAAGGAACATGTCTGTTTTGGCTAGATCAAAAGATTGATTTGGACAGGTTTTTCAGTGGTTTACCTCTTCATGGTTCTTCTTGAGGAAGATAATCTCCTCCTTTAAGCCCTCAATCTGCATCTCCAGGTCTGATCTTGACAATGTCAGCTCATCCAGGAGTCTCTTCAGCCCAGCAATGTCTGCTTCCACAGACTGACGCATGCCCAACTCATTCTCATACCTGAATGGGCAAACCAGAGAAGCTTATTAGCAACTTTTAACCAAAGTAAGAGTAAAATAAGTTTCATAAACTGCAGGCTTGGATTTACTTGTTCTTGAAGTCGTCAGCGGCTAATTTTGCATTATCAATGCCCAGGTAGACTCCTCCATTGACACGGGTGGCATCTTGAATCTGTCAGAGACAAGAGAGCATTCAAACAATGAGGTTTTTGCAAATGCACAGCACATTTAGCTTCCAAATAGACACAAAATGCAAATACTGTCTGATACACCCATGTAATTGTGCACTTTTATGCAAAATTTTGTGAAGCAACCGTGACATACACATCTGTACAATGCACTCAAATGGCTTTGTTTCATTTTGACATGCAGAAAACTCAATGAGGACATGACCACACCCATCATCCTGCAGCTATGGAATAATGCATTTCTTGTGCAAGAGATGTTGTAAAGTTTTACAGTAGCAGTACCTTATCCTGCAGGTCGCTGATTGTGGCGTAGTAGGCAGAGTAATCTCTTGCAGAAGGTGAGGTTTTTTTCTCCAGAAACTGCCTGATCTTCAGTTCGAGATCTGCATTGGCCTTCTCCAGGGAGCGCACCTTCTCCAGGTAAGATCCCAGACGGTCGTTCAGGTTCTGCATGGTTGCTTTCTCATTGACAGTCACGTTGAGGTCCATATCGCCAGCGCCACCACCAAAGCCACCACCAAAGCCTGCTCCACCACCAGCGCCACCACCAAAGCCATAACCTGCTCCACCACCGCCGCCACCACCAGCTGAAAAGGTTCTTGACGCAGAGGAGATACGGACACTTTGGCCTCCTGAACCCCCATACATGCTCCCAGCACGCATGCCGCCTGAGAGGCCACCTCCTCCGATGCCCATCGATGAAGACTGAGACATGCGTCCTAGAGAAGCACCCCGCATGGAGCCTCCACCGAAGCCCCCTCCAGAAGACACAAAACTACGGCTGCTGAAGGACGTCATTGCTGGGGAGCAGAGGAGAGAGTCTTTTTGCTGGAAGGAGAGGGAATGTGGTTCACAGACGAGGCTGATTGATTTTTATATGTTTGTGGGATGAGGTAAGGGGTGGGTGGAGGTGGAGATGGAGGAGGGGGTGAGGGGACAACATGAACTCAAAACTTAACTCTCCGCCCAGCAAATGCCTGGAGGCAGAGGATCTGGCAGGTGAAATGACATGAATTGTTGAATGATCTCTGAGAGCCCAGGGATATGTGCAAAAGACAAGACATATGCATATATCTTATCTCAAAATATGCATGCCTATAACTTGACAATGTTTTCACAGGACGTGATTGTCTTGATGTGAGGGACAAGATTTTCCCATGCATGTCTGCATAGTATCTCATGTTACTGCCATACGGTCTGTGTTACAGGCTTCATAACATGTGTGCTGACAGGATGATCTGCGCCTGCCAGCGGGGTTTCCAGGACAACAGAGTGCTGGATGTGATAAACACTTATAAACAGCAAGCTAAAAGCACACAGTGAAATGGTCTCTTGCACGTGGAATGCTGCCAGCTTCCCCAGAACAGACCTCCCTTTGTCTTTTCAAACATGAACAAAAAAAATAAATACCGAGAGAGAGAGAAAAACATTTTCCAAAGTGAACTTTTAAATTACTCAAGAGGCATCTGGAGACGTGCTAGCATGGTACCGCTCGTCTTGCGTAACAGTATTTTTCTGAGAGCTTTAAAAATGAGTCAGATATACGCCATTCCAGAAGGCTTTACTTCTATCTCAGGAAAATTATTGTATGCATAAGAAACTTTCAATTGAGGGCTGAAGCTTTGCTTTGGAAAGCATGACCATGAAATTCAACTAATTCCGTTTTCTCTTCAGTTAAAAATGCTGCTGCATGAAGTAGTAGTACATTAGTAGAGTAATTGCTAGTTTGAATGCATTTACAGAGGTTACATTGTTCTTTTGTATAGCTGTCATTACACAATCAAGTGAAAACAATGCGGCAAGGATAACTGAACACGGATCTAGTGTATGTATCAAGTAATTCATCAATTTTAAGTGAACATGCCTGCGGTTATAAGGTGATGAATGATGTGTTAATTTCATTAGATACTGAATGACAAGATAAATCTGATCCATCTGTTGGTTCCAAACAAGCTCTTACCTGCTTCCCTGCAAGCTCTGCTTTATTCAGATCATAAATTTAAACAAATTAGGATTAAACGATCACCTTGTTACTGCAAGAACGCTAGCTTTTTGATTTAAAAGACATATTTATGTGCACGCTTTTGTGAGCATGTCATGCGGGAGTTAATCTATGAGTAGTCAGCCTTATACTTTCACTGTGGGAATATACTTACAAAAGCAGAAAAAAAAATGTTCATTCAAGTGTGCTAGCTACTTTAAAACAACAACAAAAAAGAAAGTATACTTTCAGTCTACTTTTTACGTAGACTTCTCAGAAATATACTTAAATCACACTTAAGTATATTTGACTTATAATGACAGAAAAGTCGAATTACTTGTACTCCATATTGTAATCGAGATATAGACTACTTAAAAAGTATAATTAAGTATTGTAAGTATACTTGGCTTGTAGTTGTGTTTACGCTTTTTTCACATAGTTTTACATAATGTCTTGTAAACTTACATTTTCAAGTGTATATAGTAAAGTCAGCTTTGGGGTGGAATAGCTTAAATAAAACGTGTGGAACTGAACATGATCTTCTTTGTAGACAGTGATAATAACCCACAGAGAAACAGATAAAAATGTGGCTGATTTTATTGACAGTTCTTCCCAGGTGTAAGAGTATTGTGATTCATACTGGCTTCTATAATAAGCCATTACCTAAACCATTTTAAATCTCATTACAAAACATTAAGCCAAATAGGAAAAGGAGTAGGCCTGTGTGAATTTTTGTGTAGTCCACTGACTAGAGTGATGGAACTTTTGCTAAACTTTTGCGTTCATCAGAGAAACTTTGTGTTCACATGCAAAACTTCTATGTTCTCTCGCAAAAGTATTGCATTTCCCCGAGTGTGAGAAAAATATGAGATGGGAGGGAAAATTATACTTAAAAGGATAACGCAAACGCAACGCAAAGGTCTTGCCAGTGGATGCACTGTTTATCGGGGAACATAAACATTTGCAATACAATCCAAAAACACTGAAATATTTTTTTCATATATATAACGTTTTTACATCACAATGTCCCTTTAGAATAAATTTAAAGTTTCTCAGAACTTTTTTATAAATGAATGCAAAAACATTTACATGTAATAATACTTCATCCATCTTGTTTACACACATCAGAGTTGCATCAACAACACAGACACATCCACACATCAGATCCAGCACATCAGATCTAAGTGACAAGGTCCTTTAACCAACTAGGCTTCCGAACATCACGTTTAGGTCTAGTGTAATGAGTGTGTTTAGTGAGCAGTGTCCTCAGCTGTGTACTCAGGAGTAGTTGGTGTGCATGGAAATGCAGTGAAATGCACCCTTTGGCGAACAGTCATGTCAGTTGGTGGGCGCACAGGAAGACAGCCTTGTGTCTCTCTACAGCACCATTACCTGCCGGGTAGTAAAGAGAGGAACGAGGGTGATGAATATTCCTTCCTTCCAGAAAAGCAGCGAAAGCAGCAGACGTAAACTGAACACCTTTATCAGTAACAATACTCAATGGATTTCCATGGCGGCTGAAGACTGATGACAGAAACTAAACCACAGAATCCGTAGTGACATTGTGAGTATAGGCAACGCTATCTCACGACCAATTCGTACGAATTCGTACGAGTGAGTAAAATGTGACTGATTCGTATTTTCAAATATTTGGAATATTTTTTAATCGGATTAACCTGATGTAGCTAAATTAATATTACAATGAATCAATGAATCAGTTCGTCCAGTGAACACTTTTGATTACTCATTGATTCTAAGAAAAGGGTATTTTAAATAATTATTTTAAATAAAAATAATTATTTCTTAGCATGTACAGTGCTTAGAGCGTGTCACAAGATCAGAAATCGTTAAATTGACTTTGTTGCAAGCAGAGAATCAGAACCAAATACGTATTGTGCACAAGTTTTATTAACTAAATCACACACACAACTAATCTAAACACACATACACACAATCATACATGCATGGGTAAAACGGTAAGTGACAGAATGAAACCGGAAATGTTAAATGAAACTATGGAAAATATTAATTTAGCTATGAAAAGAACCATCAGCTTTCTTCTTTCAAAGCACCTCATTAAGAGGTGTCTGCTGCTTATTATTAAACCTCTGTTTAAAATGTGCGATACTTGCATCTCCTTTGCAGTGGAAGCAGTGTGTGACATCTTTGAAGAAGATCTCATTGGTTCTGTGAGTTGATGTGGTTGGAGTTGCAATTGACTTCTTCTGCATTGAATGAAGAAATTGAATGCATTGAATGACGAACTCGCAATGTTGTCCTTGACCCTGTTGTGGTTGAGAGAGTCCTCTCTTTCCTGAATGAGAACATGGCTGGTTGTAAGTCAAGGCCTGCTGCTCTGGGGCCTGGTGAGGCCACGCAGGACAGCAACCCAAAGATACAGAGAATGGCCTTTTTAACCTCTGAGGGTGTCCTCTCCGCCTAGGGGTCAGTGAGCCAATCGTACTTAAGCTTTCGAAAGGAAGGTTTTACTTTCCTTTGTCTCAAGCAGATCGTTTGCAAATGTAACTGGATTGGTTGCAGATGAAGAAACTATTAAAGATTCTTGTAATACTAATATGTTGCACAAGTATCAACATATGATATACACGATCATGCAGCTCATCAAAATACCAGTTTAACTTTGTAGATAACCAGAATGATACATATGCGTCCTTAATTAATCGAATAATAATGAAACATGCATTACAGGATTGGGCAAAAGCACTTTAAAAGAATGTGTGACCACATATGGAAACGGCATGCATGATTGTACATGTCTCAAGTGATTATTTGATGGAGTAGGAATAGAGTACCTTATCTCATAATCCTATCATGAAGTATGAATAGAATGAAAATGCAATAAGACACCATACCAGACAGTAATAACCAACGCTATCTCACGACCAATTCGTACGAATTTGTACGAGTGATTAAAAGGTGGCTAATTCGTACGAATTCGTGCGACCTCACTCGTACGAATTTGTACGATTTGTCTAAACCCACGTGATGGGTAGGTTTAGGGGCGGGGGCAGGGGTAGGTCATTAATATGAATTCTTAGGAATTGGGCAACTCGTAAAATATGCACGATTTAGCAAAAATCATACGAGTGAGGTCATATGAATTCATACGAATTAGCCACCTCGTAAAATTCATACGAATTGCCGTTAGATCTGGTTGTAATAACACATACACACATATCCTGGGATGCACGTTCATTTATAGAGTCAATTTATAGAGTATATCAGTTTGTCTATAAATGAATGCAGGAAAGTCTGTTTTAAGGGCTATGGGTCTTTCCTATGACCTGATTCAAATGACTTTAAAATGAGCTCTGCATTCTTTTAAGTCATAAAACCATGGCAACCAGAGGTCTGGTTTTATTACCCTTGGGGGGATGTCACAGACACCTTGTTATGGGGTCGTGAGGGGTTTTAAAGATTATTTGTTAAATATAACAAATACTTGTGATTTGTCTCAGTCGTTACATCCTTAACAGACAGTTCCAGTCACAGTTTATAGTACGGCAACAACTCAACATTTAGTCCCTTGCGTGAAGGAGGCCAACCTTAAGAAATCTGCATGCGAAGTTTGGTTAGAGCAAGGCGAAAAGCACATGCAGCATCAACATCAGCAGCAGACAGAGAATTACAGGCAGCAGATAGAAAAGCAACAAACTCCTCATCAACAACATAAACAGGAGCTGGAGCAACAGCATTATCTGCAGGAGAAGCAGGTAATGGTAATTAAGCAGGGGTGAAAACCCTCCGCTGAAACAGTATGACCTAAGAACAGCAGACTGGTTTGCCGGAAGCAACACTTGTCTTTATTGAGCTGCAAGCCAGCAGCTTAATTGTAAGTCAGCTTGAGGTGCTTTGTCATTCATAGACATGTCACGTTCGTAGATGGTAATGTCACCCACCTAATTTTTAACCCCTGATAAACCTGTCATCATCTTCTGAAATGCCGTGGCTGCTGAAACCAATCCAAAAGTTGCATTACCAAAAGTAATAAAGGCTGTGAGGTCACGACTGTCCTCATGCAGCAGCACTTGGTAGTAAGCATTAGTCAGGTCGATGGTTGAGAAAACAGTAAAACCTTTTAGAGCAGAGAGTATAGTCATCCATGTGTGGCAATTGAAAGAGTCCACGATCATTGCTTTATTTGGCACATCCTAATTTTACCAAACTTTTTCTGCGTAACAACAATTGGTGACACCCATGCTGAGGCGACAATGCGTTCTATCACCCCAGCTCTGACAGGCAAAGTTTTGGCAAAGATATTGTACCTGTGTTAGGCAATGAGTAGAAAATCGGTTGTCCCTCTGTACTAAGGCAGTGAAGGTCAGGCATCCCCTGTAGCATCAATAACTGTAAAGATCCACTACCATGTGTTGAAAAAACTCGGGCAAGGCATGTTAGCAACAGCCATCTTCGTGAGCATCGACAGTGCAAAAAATGCCTAATCCTTGTAGTGGAAATTTTAATGATATTCATTGATCTTTAGTAAAATATAGATGATTCAAAGAATGTCACATGTGTGTCTCTCACTTGTAGTGAGAGAAGATTCTGTTTATGTACCTGGGGAGGCAGAAGAGGGAGACACTCCAGAGAACAGATGAACAAGGACCTCTGACCTAGATGTCAGAAGGCCATTTTGGGTGCAGGGGGGCTTATTGGGCCAACTAGTGACGTCTATGGAAAACTACTGGGAGGAAGGCTCTGGGGGGAAGAAGGCCTTGAAACTAAGATAAAAGCTAGTTCAGTCTGTCTGGGGGGTGTGTCACTCTTCTGCACAGGGTAACAACTGTGTATTAGACTGCTCCTATTCTTGCAAGAATAAATTCTTCTATTTTATATAATTTGACTCTGAGTGTCTCTTACGCAGTGATGTTTGCTTGAGATGAATTTTTGCCACAACAGTTTTGGTGTCAGAAGTGGGATTCCTAGACATGCCTCCTGGACCTGAGATCGGACGGTGTTTGGCCACCTGGACTAAGTAAGTTCCAGCTCTACCTCGTAAACTTGAGAGAGAGGGGCCGACCGATATCAGGGCCGGGAGAATCGACCACTGGAATCTAAAGAACCCGCAGGTGGCAACAGAAGCATCTCTGGTAAGAGACAGTTCAATTTATTTTCTTTTGGGTAAGTTAATTAAATTCAGTTTAATTGGGGAGAAGAGTGAAATTGAACCATATTGGCTGAAGGCTGTTTCTGTGGTACGTAATCTGAGATTAATTGAGATCTATATAGATCAAGAGATTTCAAACAGATACGAGGGAAAATCTGAGATTAATTGAGGTCTGTAACAGAACAAGAAATTTCAAGCAGATAAATAATCTGGGATTAAGTGAGAACTGTAACAGATCAAGAGATTTCAAACAGATAGGTACCCTGAAAATTAGTTGTTCCACGACGGAGCAAATTGTTTTTAGGTACTGAGGCTAATTAGGGGGAACCAGAATTTTTTGGTAAACCGTAATTAGGAGGGCACTAATAGTGCAACCCGACCGATTTGGGTTAAAAGAAAAGAATCGGATTTGTTTAGGGACGCCTAACAGATTAAAGAAAACGCGCGTTGAAGAGAAATCCACAGAGAACAGAAAACAGCCAGTATGGGGATGTCTCAAAAGCAAGCTTACCAAATTTGATACACCGGTTTTCTGTAGAACTAGGAAAGTATGGGGGGAAATGTATATTTTAGATATTGAAAAAACTGAGAAAATACCATGATTTTCCCAGGGAGGGAACACTGAGCACAAATAGACTAAGAGTGTGCGAGAATCAGTGGAACAGGGCAGCGGGACAAAAGGTTGTTGTGGCTGCGTTCAACATGTGTGTAAAAAATGTGAACAGATAATGGATTGTTCAGTTGAAGATAAAATGTCGAACTGCCAGGAGAAATAATGTTTTTTACTTCTTCATCCAGTAAATGGATGCATGACATTAGATGTCTATAGAACTTAAATTTATATGACAAGGATTGAAGTGGCAAGAAGCAATAAGGCTGTCTGTGTGAAATAGAGGGAAGTGAAAAAACAAAAAGGTTGGTGTGTGAGATATGTGTGTGTGGGGATTGTTCAAACAATCATGTACTGGTTAGATAATGAAGGAACTGGCATGTTTGAGAAAAGAAAGGAGAGGATAATGAAGGAACTGGCATGTAGGGAAAAGAAAGGAGAAATATAGTAGAAAACTATATGTGATGAAAATAGACATGGTCTGATAGAATTTATGGAAGTCAAATGTAAAATGTTTAAATGATATGAAAAGTTTTAGAATAAAATAAGGCATTGTATGATTGACAGGGATTAACATGTAGCCTTGTCAAAGTTAGTGTGAATCCTGATTGGAGACTGATAAACTCCTAGAAGAGAAAACTTTGAAGTCAGAGATTAAGCTATGGTAATTGAGATTGAGAAATGTGAAACGTTATTGAGAACTTGTAACGTACGGACAGAGACGGTCGGATCCAAGTGCAGCACTTTATTACAACTTAAACAAACACAAAGAAACAAGGGCAATCCAGTAAATCGTGGTACAAACGGGCGTGGGTCGAGGCAGGCAGCACAGGTTCGAGAACAGTCCAGGATACAGGCTAGGGTCAAGAGTCCAGGGAAACACGGAGAAACAGAACAGGGAATAACGCTCAGAAATGCACGCTTACAGTGTAACAAGACTTCGCCAAGGACACAGGCAAAACTCAGGCTTAAATCAGGAACTCAATAACCAATAATGAAACACAGCTGAACATAATAAAACATAATGAGTCCATGAGGAAAACATAACACAATGAGAGAGTGCCCTCCAGTGGCTCTCGAGGGCACTACAGCTGCCGATCGTCACATAACCCCCCCTCTAAGGAGCGGCTTCCAGACGCTCCTAAGAGCTCTGGGGGGAGGTCAACGGGGGATGGGATGGAGGGCCAGGCCCGTGGAGAGGCAGGAGGTCAGCCCCATGGAGAGACCTGGGGCCTGGAGACCAGAGCAGGGCAAGAGACCACGGGGAAGCACGCGTCGAAGACAACCAGGGTGAAACACACTTAGAAGGGTACCAGGACGGAGCAGACTCAGACAGAGACGAGGGCGGAGCAGACTGAGGCGAAGGCCAGGGCGGAGCAGGATTAGGTGAAGGCCAGGATGGTGAAGCCCCTGTAGACGACCATGGCAGCGCAGCCTTCATGGTCTCTTCACCAGACCCTTGGCCCCCCCCCAAAAAATACTTGGGGAAATCCACGGGTTCAGGAAAGCCCTCCCGGAGCTTGAAGGGCGCAGGCAGGGCGAGGCGCAGAGGCGGGGCCGGCAGGGCGAGGCGCAGAGGCGGGGCCGGCAGGGCGAGGCGCAGAGGCGGGGCCGGCAGGGCGAGGCGCAGAGGCGGGGCCGGCAGGGCGAGGCGCAGAGGCGGGGCCGGCAGGGCGAGGCGCAGAGGCGGGGCCGGCAGGGCGAGGCGCAGAGGCGGGGCCGGCAGGGCGAGGCGCAGAGGCGGGGCCGGCAGGGCGAGGCGCAGAGGCGGGACCGGCAGGGCGAGGAGTATTTGAACACCCACCGGAGCCTGGCGAACCAAACGAGTCCTCCTTCTCCTCCGACGGCGAGTCACTGGGCTTGATACTCTCCCTTGGCTAGATTCAGCATTTGACTCACTTGTCTCGGCATTTGACTCACTCGATACACTTGATTCACTTGCTTCAGTTGACTCACTTGACTTGGGACTTGACTCACTTGCTTCAGTTGACTCACTTGACTTGGGACTTGATTCAGTTGACTCACTTGATTCAGTTGATTCAGTTGACTCACTTGACTTGGGACTTGACTCACTTGATTCAGTTGACTCACTTGATTCAGTTGATTCACTTGACTCACTTGATTCACTTGACTCACTTGACTCGGGATTCGATTCTTTCGAGTCGGCTGGCACGTGCTCAAACTCCAGTTCGGCCGGCGAAACCTCCGCTGTATCTGGATTGGCAAGTTTAACAAAACCAGTGCGGAATACGGGCTCGAGGGGTCCGATACGATGGGTGGGTTTGGCAGGAACGGTAAACTTGAAAGCCCCTCTGACGGTCATCAAGGAAGGATCGAACAGTTTGTGGAGATGAGGCTTTAGCGGCGTGCGGAACGAGTGAGAGTAATCAGCCGCAAACGAACCTCCCCGACGCAGGGACAAGAGCAGTTCCTCAGGATCTTCTCCTGCGGGGAGTTCAAAAGCCTCTCTGAATAGGGCGATAAACACCTCATAAGAAGGGAACGACATCCGACCTGGTTTCCAGAATGTACCGACCCACTCCAGAGCCTTTCCAGTGAGCAGTGAGCAGATGAATGAAACGCGGTCGTCATCCGAGGTGTACAACTGGGGCTGAAGATTCATGTATACGCTGCACTGCTGAAGGAATCCCTCACACGCCACAGGTGAGCCATCAAACTTGTCAGGAAATGCCAGACTGAGATAGTCAGATGCGGTACTCACACTGGGTTGCGGTGGAACAGGTGCAGCGGCAGTTCGGGCTTGATTAGCCGTTGTGCTTGAGCTCTGCGTAGACCAGGTTTGCATGGAGCTTGCTAGTTCCTCGAGGAGAGAAGTTAGTCTCGCCAACTGAGAACGATGAGAGGCTAGCATGGAAGCTCGGGTCTTGACCACGGTGGATAGATGCTGAAAGTCTGCTGGATCCATGTTTGGCGAAGTCTTCTGTAACGTACGGACAGAGACGGTCGGATCCAAGTGCAGCACTTTATTACAACTTAAACAAACACAAAGAAACAAGGGCAATCCAGTAAATCGTGGTACAAACGGGCGTGGGTCGAGGCAGGCAGCACAGGTTCGAGAACAGTCCAGGATACAGGCTAGGGTCAAGAGTCCAGGGAAACACGGAGAAACAGAACAGGGAATAACGCTCAGAAATGCACGCTTACAGTGTAACAAGACTTCGCCAAGGACACAGGCAAAACTCAGGCTTAAATCAGGAACTCAATAACCAATAATGAAACACAGCTGAACATAATAAAACATAATGAGTCCATGAGGAAAACATAACACAATGAGAGAGTGCCCTCCAGTGGCTCTCGAGGGCACTACAGCTGCCGATCGTCACAGAACTAGAATAATTACCATTATGTAAGAACAAATAAGCAGAAGCAGTAGGCTACTGAATTAACAGTTGCCAAATGTAAAATGTGTTGAAAGGCATCTGATTAAACAAACAGCTTGAAAAGTTGACCATGAAAGAACTAGAAGCTGATGTTTTGCTTTCAAAAGATAAGTTTGTTATTGGCTGTAATGAAACAGTTCGCTTATCTAAAATCTGATGTGTGCTGTGCCTGAAACTGCCAGTGCGACAGAGACTCAATCTGAGGGGAAATTTGTAATGTCTAAATTCCCTGAGGTGGGCAAAAGACAAATATAAATAATATGTTTATTTGAAACCGTATGTAATTTCTGGCAAAGATGCCTTAAGCTGGGATAGAGTTAAAAGATGATAGATAAATGTTTGATGTTAGAAGTATATGAGAGAGCAGTGTACCATCCAATAGAGTCTCAGAGTCTCTCTCATTCAATGAGTCAGCTAAAAGCTGGTATCTGTGATAATGTGTAAAGCACAGTGTTTCAGTTGAAGGATCCTAGACACAGAGATGTTTTAAAAATAAAACTGAATGACTTTAAAGAAGTATTTAAAACAATAATACAGATAGAGATGACATTTTGATTAGCTTATTTTAGGACCAGTAACTTCTCTGTCTCATTTAGTCTCCACCATTCAGGACCAGTGTTGTGCTAGTTACTAAGAAATAGTAACTAGTTACAGTTACTAGTTACTTCATTCAAAAAGTAACTCAATTACTTTGTTGATTACTTGCACCAAAAAGTAATGCGTTACTGTGAAAAGTAACTTTTTAGTTACTTTTTTAAAGAAAGTTCTTTAATGTTCCCATTAATGCCCTTTTATGCGTTATGGTCTATACAAACACAAAACTGACTTAAACAGAAAGTAATTTTTAAACACTATTTTATTTAAGTCAGACCAGCACAAACTGAATATATCACAAGGATTTCTGAAATAAATAACAAAACAAGCATGTGTAAAGCTAGTGATGTGTTTGCTTTCTCAACATTGATATGTTCATGCAGCTGACAGTAATACGTTTTTACTGCATGAATGAATATTTGAGCAATACAATTGTACCTTGATCATTCTTGTTAGTTCATAGTAGGCTAATTAACTAAGGTAATAACAGATACAATAACAATTTAAACTCAATTTCAAATGTATTAAGTAAATGTTGAAATTAAAAAACTAACAATGAATGATACTTCTACAACATTTATTAACCATATTTAATGCTAAAATTGTAATCTCATTGTAAAGTGTTACCATTTTATATGATTCAAGCTTATAGAAGATGGCCATATTTAAATATCTGCAAAGGCCAGAGCATTAAAATTACATAAATGTAGACCTATATATTACATGTATAGTCTTTCACTTTATTTGCTTAAATTTTAGAACACTTGATTAGGAAACTTGATGTCGCTGCATGAACATATCAATGTAAGCATTGCAATCACGTCAGCTTTAAAAATACAACTTCGCCGGCTAATGAATGCATAACAGTGACCAGCTGGATATAAACTAATGCAAATAGATGGTAACAATTGCGACATAAAACATCTGGGTCAGGTCTGCGTGTGTTTTGGTCACATTGCTTTAATCGCTTGAGGTAAGTTAGCCGTTACTAATGTTATTCCTCTCAGACTCGACGGCAAGCTTCTGTTCTTTCTCTGTTGATGCAGCATCTAGACAAAATATTACTTTATAATGATATGGCAATGTGTACTTTAGTGTTCTGTATTCATACCGTTTCGCTGTCTGTGTTTTAAATGCGCATCTGAAGTGCTCAGCGCTCTCCGTGCAGCTTGTAATCTCCGTGCTCGCGCGGCCTCACGTGTTAACGTAAACAACTCAGCCAGTGAGTTTATGTGTCCTCTCGCTCTGTATAATGCTAGCAGTCTCTTCAGTGATCTCGTACTGTGTAACAGCGCACACTTCTCAGCCGCTCCAGCAACTAATTAATTTAAAAAAGTAACGGACAACGCACCATATGGTAACGATAACGGAGTTACTTTATTTAAAAAGTAATGCGTTACAGTATTAGTTACTGTCAAAAGTAACTGCGTTACAGTAACGCGTTACTAGTAACGCGTTACTGCCCAACACTGTTCAGGACCGATGGCTCCGGCTACAGATGAAGTACACTGAATGTACGGTTGTGATCTAAATTCACTGAGTATAATCCAAGCAGCTAGGTTGCTGCTTTTAAGATAGTTAATGGATTTAAGTGATTAAATACTGTTGTTATTGACCTGTCTCCCTATGTGAACACTATTAGGCAATCCGAATGGCCCTGGTGACTCTTGAACGTGCCTTTCCTAAGCTCTAGAAAACAGCTGAGTTCTGTTGAAGCAAACAGCCTGTGATGGGAAAGAGCGGTCACCAGTGGGCACGAGTGACCATCTCTATGAAGGGTAAGACCTTCTATTGGCCAGACAGGGGGCAACCTAAGCCAGAGTGGATCACGTAAAGTCATTGGGCATCTCAAGATGGAGGTGTTTATGTGAGAAAGGTATGAGAGTGGAGCGGATGACTGTGAGGCCAGCAGCATCCTTTATCGTTAGGGCGGATGAGCTGTGAGGAGTTACAGGCAGTCTGACCCAGAAACGTGAGTGTTCCTCTAATACCAATCACCAGAAACCGCATTCATTGTATGGCTTGTTTTTTTTATTGTGACAAGCGTCTGCAAATATGCCAGGGGAAAACACCCTGATGGAGATTATAGATAAAGGGCTAACAGGAGTGGGCGAGCAGGAGCCAGCTGAGGCCATGAAGTGATTCCCATTAGTTGTTGTGGAGACAGTAGCAAAACTTTTTATGTACTGGTTTGCCTTATGGGCAAGGAAAATCATAGTGTTGATTTTGAACTAATATGTTATAACATAGTTTTAACTCTTGAAGGTCGTTAGACATGGTGGTGGCTAAAGATGAAGACAGCTTTTGATTTAAGGAAAGTCTGGATGACAAAGGTGAATGGTCAAAGGTTATTGTAATGAATACAAATTTTGACTAAGTTACAGTCTTAGGAGGCTGGTGAAAAAAATTATTTGTTTATAGTGAGAGAGACTGCTTGAGCGGAGGAAGGGATGGTAACTGTGTCTGTCTTTCCATTATTGGCCTGCTAGAGCAAGCTGAAGCAAAATAATGATAATGAAACAAAACAACCCAGCTGACCTTGTTAAATTCTAATGAATAATGAACAAGACATGCTTTGAAACTGGTTGGGAGACCATGTAAAATTAGGTAGAAGCTACAGGAAAAAATGGAAAGGTTAAAATCTTATTTAAAATTTAAATCTTTTAGCAATAATATAAAGAAAAATGAATATTGAAAATGAACAGTTAACATATGTGTGTCTAGTATGAGTGCGTGTGATGGTGACAGCACTTTATGTCTTGTATGTATTAGTTTGGGGCACTAATATTCCGCCTGAATGGTGTGTATATTGCGTCATTAACCTCTGGAATGAGTTTATCATTACAGATGGGTTAAGGCAGATGACAAATTTTAAAGAAGCTGATAATTCTGATGAAAAGACAATACAGAACATGGGACAAGCTTTAAGTTGATTGGCCATCAAGCTCTGTCTGGTAGTAATAATTTTGTCATACATAATGCAGATTTGAAGATCAGTTTAAGTAAATTGGAATTGTGTAGTTGTAGATCACCATCTGGCATGGGCTGAGATAAATGAAAATGTTGTAGATTTGAGGGAAACAACAAAGTGACATATTGGCTAAGTCAACATGAAATTATCAAGAGAGCCTCTCACATTTATGATTATTGTGAACAAAGGGGGAGAAATGATTGACTGACATTGACCAAGTCTGCACAGCACGACCTGACCTGATAGGGAAAATTGATGACTTTGGAAATGTTTGTAGATGACTGACTTGAGAGACCAAACAACAGGCCTGAAAAGCAAGATTGGCTGTGAGACTGAGGGCCGTTGCCTTTCAAATACTGCGAGAAGAAGATGAGATTGTGGCTTTAAGAATGTAATATTTTTGTTTCAGAGGCAGAGAAATTTGTCTGAAGGATGCCGTTTGGGTTAGTGTTGATGGCAAACTTTATAAAAAACACTATGTTAAATGTTATGTTAAATTGATGCTCGAGTTGTGTCTTGCATCAAGAGGGAGATGGTATAACAATTGCCAAATATGGTTTATTAAGGGGTTCACAGTTGCTGAATAAATGTTGGGAGAACACTAGGGGTAATTTGATAAAAGCCCTGAAAGAAGCCATTTTTTCTGCCTAACAAAATTGATGTCTGTGAGTGTGCACACACCAATAACAAAGATTGTTTCAACAGGAAACGCCAGGGCATCGAAGGACACGGGAGAACAGTAGACAAAAGAAACTACGTACTTTACTATCTGACAATAACCTCGAAATTTGTTTCTCTTTACAGAGAGCATGCAGGATTGGGAGACAGGGCAAAATGTGCCAATAAAATAATGGTTATGGATGAATTTGGCTAACTGTCCTGGCCTGGGTTATTATTGTGGCAGAAAGGTGCTACACCTGCGCAGCGCATAACTTAAAATTTTCCTTTTACAGAATGTCAGGATGGATTGGATCAAACAGAACTAATTCTGTTCCAAATGTATAAATATTGTGTGGACATGAGCAAA